TCGTAATTAATTATATTATTAGTGCAATCAAAATAATTGTTAGTGCAATTAAAATAATTGTCCCACAGTTCTACTAAGAAATTATTGAAACACCGTGTATAATTTCGTCGTAGGGACGTTTCTGCACACACTGTATGTGTCTTAGACGGAAAGGACATGTAACTCCGCCCACATAACTAAGCTTAAAGCTCAGTCTAATCTGCCATCTGGTGGAAAACTCTGGCAAAGTAGCATAATAGTGTTGTTTATCCTTTTTAAAACAATTTATTATAGAAGGCGATGTTGGTTATTGTAAGTACTCGTCGGGGCGATCGTGGTGTGTTAATTTATTTCTCGAATTGTATTTCGGCTGCATAATCAATTTTAAGTTGTATTTTCCTTCGTTTATAAAATAAACTGCTTTGGTGCCTGATACGTGTTGTACTTGTTTATTTATAACTTGGATAAGTTGTACGAGATCGGCCATTTTTTAATGGGTAAGTACTTTGATTTATTTACAACTGGTGGTAACGATGTGATAATAAGTACCTATAGGCATGTATGTTTGTATATTCGTACTATCAGTAAGTCGCAATTAAACTTTCAATTTGTAATTGTATCATCAGCAAATGTTACTTTAATTGTCTGAATTTTAGAAACAGATACAATCAGGGTACAAATATTTTAATTAAAATCAGTTTGTAATACGCGAATGAATGCGGAAAATTGTTAGGACGTGTTGAATGCATTTGTAGGTGATGCGCTTCATTTGGGGCCTTTGTTAGGACCTAGTGCTTTGGTATTTCTATATATCTATTGGCGTTTGTATAAAATACATTATTATTAAAATACTACTTGTACAAAAATGTTTAAATTTGCTTTGCACTAGTTCAATAAGTTCGACCCTTGAGCTAATAGACAAAAATACTAATGAAAAAGGTTCTTTCAGTTTTCCCGAATTTCCCAATTTTCAGGGCAGCTCCTCCAATTTTTCTTTCCTTAAACACTTTATTACGAATATTAAAAACAAATTAATCATTCTCAAGTGATGCGCTTACCACCGAATAACATCATTTTACCCTTTAATGTGTTCCCTGTTTTACCTTTATCATATCTGTTGCTTCCTCCCTTTCTGACGTGGTTTATTTTTCTGTATTCTTAAGCACGGTTTGACTGTGAAATTTGAAACTGAAAACTACAAGATAGTGTAGTGGGCTAATAAATGCACATAATCCAAAATTCTTAGAAAACGATTCCATAAACTTCACTTATTAGATAAACCTATAAAGCTAAAGAAATTATGATTTCATTTCTTTCTCTTATTTCAATGTGTAAAAGATAATATAAAATGATTGATGTTGATTTTTCCAATTAAAACGGGTGATAAAGGCAGATAAGGAAGCATATAGAAGAATTATTTGTTGCTGAACTGAAGAAACTATAACATAAAGATAGAAAAACTAAAATCTCAATCACTTCAAACAGAAAAATATGAAGCTGGTGATATAGTGGAAACACCACTATTAGTCTAGAAAAACTCAATCCAAAATGAGCAAATGCCTGCAAGGTTTTCTTAAAAAATATTTTAAACTTAGGTAAATGTAAAAAATTGAATAGGTACTACAAAAAAGTATTTATTTGAAAAAAGTATTTTGAAAATACGTATTTTGCATTTAGCGTTTAAGATACAAAAGGGAAATCTATTTTGTATTTTACATTTAAAATAACAAATCAAAAAAGTATTTGCATTTTTTATTTAAATACTTTTAAAAAACCATTTTGCACATCTCTACCTATCACTTCCTGCAAGCTTGCTACTTCTTTCAGAAACATCCTGTATATTCCACGGTTCTATTACCTCTTTTACATATTGTTAGTTACTGTTTTATTTTTTCACTCATTATAAATCATACATCTTTTATCTACCTCTACCTATCGGTATGGTCTAAAGCAACATTTGTCAGCGTATTGGCGCCGTTTATCAATTGAACCGCGACTAGAGAAACTGACCAAGAATAAACAGACTCATTTATCACATTAAGGAAATGTTGTGCGATTTTGCAATTAGTTGAACTGTCTAAAGGTCACCAATTCGATTCTGGGTCTGTCTGCCGTTGTCTAAGTTTTTCCGCGGTTTTGTGCTGTGCGGCAGTAATGTTCTACAGGTAATCATTCACTTCTTCCCGTCGCCATTTCGCCTGTCTCACCTGTCTCTCGCCAACCACCACCAACCTACTCCCATAATTTTCATATCTCCCTAACTCCAAGGTTGTCCAATAAAACGTCTTTGAGCAGTAAATTCAAATAGGTTCATATAAACTTTACATTTTGATGGCAGTAAAAAACTTACGAGCTAGTGTTGCCAGACCTACGGAAATTCCCCAAGATTTAGTGAACTTAGGGATAAGATCTATATTTAATTCAATATAAAATCAGCAGGATTTTTATGTAGAAGCAACAAATGTAAAGAAATTGTAACTAAGTCAAAAGTTTAAATAGTTCAGTATAACTAAGAAAAACCAGTAGATCTGCCCGTAGGAAAAATTTCCATTCTATTTCCTTTAAAAAATGCTATTTAATTACCACTGATAATAATTAATGGTAATAAATGGAGAATTGCAATTCCACTAGAATTTTAGTGGAAATTCCATTCCCGAACTCAATGGGATTTCCATTGCGTTCCATTGGAATTTCCATTCCTGAACCTAATGAAAATCCTAGTGTCCATTCTTTAATTTTTACCTTTGATTATTATTAGTAGTAATTAAATGACATTCTTTTTAATCAAGATGAAATATGAGATTTTTCGACGAAAAAAAAATATGAATTACATGACAATTATTATTCCAAAAATATGTTGGTTATTATTTTTACAGCTTGCTTTGATAATCACATTAACTTCAGCACGTTTTTTCCATTTTTTTTAATAAGTTTTAATCTTTTCAAACCAGATGTTCTCCTTTTTTAGGTAGCCAATTGTTTTTCTTTTTAATCAAGATGAAATATGAGGTTTTTCGACGAAAAAAAAATATGAATTACATGACAATTATTATTCCAAAAATATGTTGGTTATTATTTTTACAGCTTGCTTTGATAATCACATTAACTTCAGCACGTTTTTTCCATTTTTTTTAATAAGTTTTAATCTTTTCAAACCAGATGTTCTCCTTTTTTAGGTAGCCAATTGTTTTTCCATTTAAATTGAATGGTTTTAAATAGAATTTATAAATTTTGCATTAGTTCCCATTGAAAATCAATGGAAATTTTTCCTATGTAAATATTAATGGAATTATTGTAAATGGAAGCAATTATTTTTCCACTTATGTCAAATGGGTTTGAATGGAATTTACAAATTTTCCATTGATTCCCATTGAAGTTCAATGGAAATTTTTCTTACGGGGACCGAAGTGGAAAAGCAGAGTTTGCCAATTTTGATCATCCCAACTATCTCAGGGAGCTATGAGTTTTAAATATTTTTTATCTGATCACTTATAAATGTCGACTTTTTGATGAATTATAGTAACCATGTTGAGTTTTAACCTAGTACTTAAAAAAAATCCATTAAAAATGTTAAAATAATTTTAAAACACGTAAATTTTGGATCAAATAAACTTACTCTTCACTTTCGTAAGTAATAAGTAATGGTGCAAAATTAATCTCATAAATTTACTTAATTCTCCTGAGCAAGCCGAGAAGTCACGACGAAAACTTGAGGTTGAAAATAAATGACCAACATAAGAATTGTCCAGTGAAGCCCGTTTTAATCAAATACATCATATCTTTATATAATTAATTTGAACCAATACGGTAGTTACTGACGTAACTTTTTTATATTAGAATAAGTATGCAATATATTTTTCTTGAGATATAAAGTAGTAGTTGAACTCGTCCAAATGTGATGGATGATTATCGTTATCGATGCCATACATAACACTTACATTTTAAACGAGGCGAGTTACTTGGTTCCAGCTGAAACATGACAAAATGTTAGCAATTTTTATTAAACAATTTCCATTTAAACGACAAAATCCTGGATATCGGAAGTAGACGAGTTAGTCAGTTTCATCCTTTAAATATATGTTTTAATAGTCAGCTTATCCCAGAAAATTGTAGCACCAGAGAAGTTAGCCTCGCAAAATTTTATAGATATGTGATTTTATTAGAATTATACTGATGATAAACCACTGAATAATGGAGATATATATAGGGAAACTGTAGGGGTTATAAAATTAAGTGGTAGGAAGACAAGGATATTTTGGATGGAAAAAGGTGTAAAACAAGGATGTAAATTAAGTGCACAACTGTTTAATATATATATCATCATCATAGGGTCATCAGTCCTAAGACTGGTTGGACACGCACCTGCACTATTTCCTATACTGAGCTAATCTTCACATTTCCCTAAACTAAAGCAATCCATATCCTTAACTATACAAAAGTAGAAAATGTAAGTATTAGATAATAATGGATAAGTAATTTAGAGAAAGAGACCAGTAATGTAAGGGAAGGAAGGGTAGCGGTAGAAAGAAAATTTGGAACTTATCTTATGCTGTCAATGTTGCCTTAATAGCCACGAATCATGGTGCCTTGAAAGGTATGATGAGAGCGTTGGAAAGATACTTAAGAAAGAAATGTCAGAGTTAAATGTTAGTAAAACAAAGTGCATGGAATTTGGGGAAGTAAGAGGTAGAAAGGGGAAGGAACAAAAGATTAGTTGCATAGGGAAAGAGATAGGAAAAGTTAAAAAATATACATGCTTAGGTTATATAATGGGGGAGAATAACAATGACAAAATACATATACATACGCAACTGACGAAAGCAAACGCCTTGTTAGGAAATATATGGGGAGTAGGGCATAGATTATATAGGAACGATTAGATTAGAAAAAAGGGATGTTTAAAACGAGGGTTAGAAACATAGCTATGAGGTAGAGGTATGGGGGTGGAAGGAACAGAAACAGGTGGCAAACGTTTACAAGAAATACATAAAGTGGGTTTTGTGGTTGGACAGACATACATTGTACCAAAGGAATTACAATATGGGAAGATGGTAGAGGAAACCAGATAAAGGGTGAAAATATGGGATAAAATTAGAAAAACTTAGGGATGATGATATGAGAAAGGAATTATGGAGAAAAAGGATTTTAAATATTGGAACAAAAACCAGGTATAACAAAGAAAGAGATGGTACATTAAACGATTTAAAGTTGAATCAGTAACAATTGAATGAATGGGGTCGAATGGGGGTGTGTCGAGAAAATGATGAGGCTAAGATGCAATGAGATGTTAAGGGGAGAAGATGTAAGATGTGTTGATAAGTCGAGATATGAGGAATGTCTAAAGGCTTTTGTCTATGGGGGCATTGGCAAGTAGACTGTATGCTAGATTATTTGAATAGAATGAAGAACGTGGACGTACCAGCAAGGTTTAAAGTGGGAAATGAAAGTATAAAATGTAAGTATTGGATAAAAGAAGAAGAAATGATATGTAGGATAT